TCATGGCCAGTTCTCTTCTGCATATTGTATTAATTTAAATTGAAGTAAGGTCACCGAGACAACAGTTTAGTTTGGCACTGTGGTCCACTTCGTTAGACTATATTTGAAGTATTTGAATCTTGGATATAGTGCTTAAGCTTTTGGTATAGTCATGGCATGCACTAAAAGCAAACTTACAAACTAATGATTTCATAGGAGGAAGGTTTAATTTTACCAATTCTGTTTCATTGCGATTATGCCACAACAGTTTTTTACTGCCTTCAAGCTAGGACAGACACTCAGAACTGGGTGATTGAGACATTTGATTCAATACAGTTCATAAGTTCATCCACGTCTCAACTATCCAACTAGTAATCCTATTTCAAAGTATAAAATATCTTGCCAGTCAGTTGGACAAATACCAATTCCATATACACGCTTCGACTAGATATCTATACTACAATGCATCGAAGGTTCACACATCTCGAGTGACTCTTAGTGCAATCCAATATCGCTATTAAGTCAGCTTATACAGTCTTACACCAACACACAAGGGTCACATTTGCAGAAGAATATACACACAAAAAAGAAACTCATGCAATTCCTAAAGAAATCTCAACTATGTTTTTTAATCAAGGCGGAAAAGGAGAGAGCATGTGTAATTAAAACCACTCAAAGAGAGGAAAAGAAAAACCGAGTCGTGGGGTCCAACCTTTTCTCATAAAGACGAGCTGAGACCAGGCTAGCAAATGTCTCAGGCTTCATGTCCCTCTCTTCTCGGAGCTGGTACAGTTTGTGCTGATAGACAATCCGTTGATACCTTCATTTCAAGGGCAGAAGGAGTTAAGCAATGGGAGATTAAACCTAACGACTCTACCACAGATACATACAGTGTCTGAGCATCGGTTCCGAGGCCCGAAAGGCCGAGAAATAGCTTATCATGAATCCTGTAAATTTTCTGGAAATCTGTGGCCACAGTCTGCAGCTGAACTCCAAGCCTACGGTCGCTGGCGATGGCAAAGCAATTCTTCCCCACCATCGCGACTACGGCACTTCCATTATACTCAAAGATCTGCAATGACAATCCAACACCACAAGATATGAACTACATACTAACTAAAACTTTCAGCAGCAGAGCAATAATGCTAGGAGGAGAAACGCACCGACATCAGGTCCGCAACTAAAGCTTTCCCGGAACGAAGTATGAAAATCTTCCTGATATAGTAAAAAATCGAGAATGTTTAGGTTCATCCCGACCAAAATCAATATCAAATAAACGCAATTCCGTCCCAAAACCCTAATAGAAAGCAATCGCAGATACAAGATGAACTGAACTTTTGAAGATCGAAGGATGAAATTCAGACCTGAGAGAAGAGACAGTTGAATCGCAAAGAGAAATGCAGGAACGAGCGAACACAGTGGTTCTTAGTATAGCTATGTATGGCTTGGGCTCCACTCCAACCCCTTCTCTCTTCCCTTTCGGCCTTTCTTACTTTCTTAATTTTCTAATTAATTCTTAAAATAATCAGAGTTTGTCGGGTTTTGCCCAAACCTATAACCAAACAAATGGTCTCGGTTTATGAGAATGGACAACCGAATTGGATTGGGCTTTTTTCCTTCTTACTGGATTGGGCTTTTTTTCCTTCCTACTGGATTGGGCCACTGAATTAATAAATATAAGCAAAGGGAAATTTTTGTAGTTTTACAGAACATTATAGATTATAGATAAGACCCATTCGTTTGGCTTTTCTCCAACAAAAAATAAAAATAAAAATAATAATAATAATAAATAACCAAATTGAATATTTTTGGGTTTTCCATTTTGTACACCGAGGAATCCAGTTCCCTTAAACCAAATCAAAACGGTTCAGCTTTTGTTAATTTTGATGATCATACTTAAATGTTTTTAAAATAAGTATTTAATTAGTGCAATTTTCAAAAGTACTTGCAAATGTATTTTCACTTAAAATATATATATCTTTTACAAATCATCTCAAACTCATTTTTAATATTCTTGCTTATTTTACATTCACATATACATTTATCAAATTGATACAGATAATATGGTCACATAAATCTGCTTCTTTTGATTTAGATTCAGATTTTTTGTTTTAAAAGAAAAATGTAAATGTATATATTATTTAAAAGTGGATAATGATTGTTATACTTTTGTGAAGAGAACCTTCTAGGAATATATTAACCAACTAAGCCATATTTATATTGATAGAATAATGATTGTTATATTAAGTACTGTGAATATTTAAAATCGGTTGATATTAGTTTTCAATTTATATTTTTGTAAATTTGTCGCTGTTGATAGTAAAATCGACCAAGAAGGTCTCATGTATATCAAAAACTTATTAATTTTGTTTTTTATTTATCATTATTTTTTAAGTTCGTTGATTTGCAGTGAGATTCAAATCTCCGATTTTTTGTCAAATTCTTCGAGGATACACGTACAAATTAATTGATATGTGTAAAGCTGGTATTATTATGTGAAGATAAACCATTAATTAATTCAAATTTATGTTATGGGAAGGTAAATCATTAATTTCAACTATTTATAATTAGTTTAGTAATTTTTTTTAGCTATTTTAGTGTTTTTGTAATTTTGTAGTTTTAATAGTTGGTCTAAACTACGTACTCTTAGATCATCTTTTTAATAATATAGAGAATATTTAAGTGGGTCATTACTTTTTTTTATTCATTTTACTCTTTCTCCTCTATCAAGTCATCTGAAATTTAATGTTTGTGTGAAAATAATAGTTTATTACGAATTAAATTTGTATTATAGAAAAGTGTAGACTTAAATTAAGAAAGGAACCAGAATAATATTTTATCAACTTGTTTTATTTTAAATGGAATATGTATTTAGCTCTTTTTTTTTGTTGGAAAAAGGAATATGTATTTAGCATTAATTGTGCCATTTGAATTTATAATAATAACAAATAATTTAAGGACACAAGCATTGACTTAACTATTATTTAATTTTCCTTTCGATTCTTCTAGTCAAAGTCAACTATAATTACTTGCTGCAGTGAAATTTCATACTCACATCACTACTATTAAATTATTATTAGATTTGTGATCTGAATTATATTTTTAATTTTTTAATACTTATTTGTATTTCAGTTTCATATCTACACTTTTAAACATTATATTTATTCTTAACTGTTGCATAAGAACGTGTTTTATGATTACATCTGAAAATATTTAACACATTTAACAAAACAATGCCTGAAATTTATGTTAAATACGAACATAAATTTAATGGCAACAACTAAAATATAATATTTCAAAATGTGACAACTAAGGTAAAATGAGGCAAATATTTTCTAAACTATTAACCTAAAATTAGTTATATCTTAAAATTTTATTTTTGAGTGAAAGAATAAATTATTTATATTTTAAATTGGTTTCACAACCACATGGAATATAAGAAAATAAATGAAAATAAATTTAGTTTAATGATAAATGCAACCACCAAAAAATTTATTTAGAAATTAATCTTGAAAAGGTATACAATAATTCACTAATCGATTGCATTGAGATGACGGGACTAAATGAATACTAAAGTTGAAAAATGTAAAAAATGTATCAACTGGAGGACATTTTTTATCTTTTAGAGGGAAGTATACTTGCATAAGTAAATGTGGAATATGAAACGAAAGTGAAAATGTTGGCTCGAGTTTTACAAATACTAATGAGAACCCATTGTGCTAAATTATCTATATAACTAGAATTTAAATTTTATATGATTCATACTTACTATATTTTAATATAAACTAATCAATTAAAATTGATTACTAAATATAACCAATCCAATAGACTAAGTTTAAATTAATTATTGACAATAATTCAGATCACACTACTTATCATCACTTTACTAATTAAATTTAACTGATGTAAACTATTTTTTACTAATTAATAAAAACTAAAAAAAAATGTAAAAATCAACTCAGTTGAATTGAACTAAATCATATAGAAATGATTGAATAATTAGACATATGTAATATAGAATAACATTTTTATAATGTCAATATAAAGTAATCAACAACTTAAAATAATTTAGTTTATATTATTTATTTGAAATAAATTTGATAAGTTACGAATCAATACTTACAGTGACGTCTATTTTTTATTCACTCTTGTACAGAACAATATAGTTGTTATTATAAATAAAGAAATAAATAACGACATTCAAGTTTGCATTGTATTTTTGGTGTTATTTTATTAACTTTAAAGGCTCAAATTTCAAAGTGGAGCAGTGAGAGAGCTTAAGACGCAACATCAATAATCGATCTCAGAAGGCAATTTGGGAGCTTGCTTGCACGTTTTGCAGCTTGAAACTAGCGGTTTTTTCTGCTCTCTGTTTGATTCTCCAATCTTTGCTTCACGAAAGATTAGTGTTGTTCCTTCCCGAAACAATTTAGACTTTACATCCCTTCTACATTTTGTCTACAGAAAAATAACAAAAATTCGTTATCGAAATAATTATAAATTTTCTATTAGATTATAAGACAAATACATCTTTAAATTTTAAAACCACTCTATTTGATTTTCAATTCCAAGTTATAATTTGTTACTAAAAAAAAAAATATCTAAGTTATAATTTAAAAATAGCTGCAAACAAATTTTGTAACCTGCATTTTCTAAAAAGTTTTGACATAGATAAATATTTTGTTAACTATATTTTTCTTATGATAAGTGGGGAGAAATACTCCATCTATAACTCATTAGGAAAATAGCTATTTGATCCGAACTGTTATTTAGATTCAATTTTATTGAACTTATTCGACAACCACATTGGACCATTGGCAATGGTGAAGCTGACTTATTCCTCCGCCAYGTCTCAACACTCCATGAGTTTGACTATTGTATAGTACACTATTATTGATTATTAGAGACCTGGAAAAAGGAACCGTTGGCTCAAACCTCCCTTAGGGCCGAACCTAACTATCTATGTTAGGTCGCAAGTCTTATTTCATGCCGAGTTGACCTACATAACTAGCTTTGCTTGTTTGAGTTAATAGTCGAGCTGACCTTCAAAGGTATTTGCAGGTGTAAATCTTAGACAATACGTTGCAATTATCGAAGCTGTCAGATAGTTATTGAAGGCATATCGGATGTTGGAAGCTCACCCCTATAAATAGAGATTCCTGCTTCATTTACTAAGTACACGAAATTATTATCTCTCAAGTAATAGATAGGACAAGTACTGATTTAAATGTCAAAATTGTTTATATGTTTTGCAGGTACTGTTCGTCAATATCACCAATCCAAGCTTTATTACCCTATCAATTTATTGACAGACAGAAAATTAACATTGATACTAAAACAATCCCTTTTAAATTTTGAAATGAAGATTTCGAGAGTATAAAATTTCCACCTATTTTAAATTACTCTTTTCCTTAGAAGTCATAATTCAATCAAAATAAACAACCTCACACGTGTGAATGCTTAGAAGCGCGACCGGTGGGTTACGTACGCTACGTTTGAATATGTTGCTCTTATTTTGTCCTTAAAAAAAGAAAAAAGAAAAAGAATAATTTGGTTCTCTCTCTCACGTGACTCAACAGACGAGTTTCCGCCACCATTGGGTCCGGGTCAGGGTCACTCTGTTTTTCACTTAATTTCCTCACGTACCCACTAACTTTACATATTTTCAGTTCCCCCCCGTAATTAATGCATAATTACTCACGATCCCACTAACTGTTAATCACCATCCTTCTCTTTTGAGTACCGATAAGAAACTATTTATTAATTATCATTGAAATTCGGAAATTCCAGTTCAACTCGAATCCGCCAACTTCTTCTTTCATCCTCTTTATATTTTAAATTTTTTATTTCCTTAAATTAATTGACAGCCAATTATGAGATTGCTGTATGTAATCAAGAGAGAAGGCCTCGTTTTCTACGCAGAAATTTGATTTAAGAAATTCGCCTTTTACAGATCCAGACGAATTTCTATTTTCTTTAAGTGAGAGAAAGAAGAGTGAGAGAGAAGTTGATCTCTGGTTTCTGGTATAAAAGGAGGGCTTGGTGTATGTGTGATTCGGTAGTGGAAAACCTTGGAAGAGAGAGAGGTTGAGGAATCAATGGCGAATTCGGAGTATGGCGTCGTCAGATTACTGTGTGTTTCTGCATTGGTATTGACGACGGCGCTATTCGATTCCGTCCTCGGCGGCAACGAAAACGACGGCGGCGTGAGTTACGACGGAAGATCCTTGATCATCAATGGCGAACAAAAACTCCTCTTCTCCGGTTCTATTCACTATCCGCGCAGCACTCCCGATGTAAGTTCAATTTCTTGCTCCCTCCGTCTTCTTCTCTGGTGTTTCTCCTGGTTTTGATCTGTTGCTTGAAATTGAACAATCGTGGCGGACGGATTTTGGCCTTTTTGAAATTTTGGCGGGAAAATGTTTTTTGTTTCTGGATCATCCATTTCACATTGCAGTGATCAATAGGTGATAGGTTAGTTCAAAAGGAGAAAAAAATGCGTCAGGTTAGGGACGGTTTAGGCGAAGCAGATAACCGTATGTTTCTTCTTCGTTCATCTTCGACTGTGAATTACAATTTTTTTTAAATTTTATTTCTCTCTACTTTTTCCTTTTTTTTTTGAAACAGTGTTTTGATAAGGTTTCCCGCCAATGAAGTAAAAAAATTAGTCTCTGCAGTAATATTCAATTTTATAAAGTAAAGTTCACTCAATAATGAAGAAAATAATTTGGCATTTCTATTTTGTTTCAATGTGAATCAATTCAATGAATTTTTCGGATTTAGGCAAACTAAGATATCTAAAGCATTTCTTAAAAAAAAAAAAATATATATATATATATATATATAATTGTACCGATGGTAGATAACTTGTTAAAATAACATTTCGTATATACTTTTTATGATGAGTTTTTTTTTTCAATTTTATTTTAAATTCAATAATAAGAGTTGAATTTTCAGAATATTTTTTTTAATAAAGTATTTATTGAACAAAAGTAACAAATCTATAAACGTTAGTTATTTGTTCTTTGAAATATTGCATTCCTACAAAGCATATAGTTATAACTAGAAATGACCTCTTTTGCATATTGAAATGTAGTTTTCTTTTGACATGGTCTATTTTTAGTATTATTAAATATGAATTATAATAATAATTTTAACTTAATAAAAAGGATATTTAAATTATATATTGGTTTCTAGATTTCCAAACTTCTTTTAGTTCAACTAAAAATTTTAAAACTTATTTTATTTTAGTTATTATACAAAATATTATGTCTTGATCTAAGAATTCTGTATAAAAACTTATTATAAATCTTTAATATCAAACAATTATTGCGTATTAAATAAAATTTGTATGTGTTTTGTTTATGTTATATGCCATTAAAAGGTTTAAGGACAAAAGTTAAAGTAAGTTTTTAAAAGACTTAGAATTAGAATAAGTATAAAGGCTTCAATAAAACTGGAGAATGAAAATGAGTCTATTACCAAGAAAGTTGACAAAAGTTGACAAATTTTTACACGTACAGACCAATAAACACCTAAATATTATTTAAGTTTATCAAAAAAGAATAATGCCAGTACAAAAGCCCATCCCATATGTAGATAAATTGGGCCTGGGTCAGCCCTAAGAGCCCATAACACTTTTTCATCCGTGCTTCTTGTGTTTGAAAGAGTGAATTATGATGATGTTTGTTACGCAGATGTGGCCTTCTTTGATAGCCAAAGCAAAGGAAGGTGGACTAGATGTGATACAAACCTACGTTTTTTGGAACCTTCACGAACCCCAACAAGGAAAGGTGAACTCACTCTCTCTAGTCTCTCCCTAAAAGGTGGCATGGCATGATATGAACCTTAAATAAAATCTTGTTTTTCCAGTATGAATTCAGTGGAAGACGCGATATAGTAAGGTTCTTAAAGGAAATACAAGCACAAGGATTACATGCTTGCCTTAGGATTGGACCCTTTATTGAGGCCGAATGGAGCTATGGGTAAAAACACATTTAACTTTTATTTATTTATTTTAATTTCAACTATTCCACTTAAATAACCATTTCTTAATCGCTGTCTTAACTTTATACAGTGGTCTACCATTTTGGTTACATGATGTTCCGGGTATTGTTTATCGATCTGATAACGAGCCATTCAAGGTATAGTTTTCCTTTTCTTTAAATGCATAATATTGGCAAACGAAATGAAAAATCGTGACGGTTTCATAGCCACTCTGCACCTTCAATTCGATGGCAGCTTCACATGCAAAACTTCACCACCAAGATAGTGAACATGATGAAGTCGGAAGGCTTATATGCTTCACAAGGAGGGCCAATTATACTTTCACAGGTTTCAGCCGATGGGCAACGCCATTAAACTAATTGTATCCCATTTTTGTTCTGTTTTTTGCACCTATAAGAGAACTCATCGATGGAATTGCAGATTGAGAATGAATACACTTTGGTAGAGGCAGCCTTTCACGAGAAGGGGCCTCCTTATGTTCTATGGGCAGCAAACATGGCCGTTAGTCTTCAAACTGGTGTGCCATGGAGCATGTGCAGGCAAAACGATGCACCTGACCCTGTGGTATATATTAAAGATAACTTAGTTATATATGCTATTTTCCCTCTCTATCTCTACGTGTTCATTTATTTTATTGCTCATATATCAATTGGCAGATAAATACATGTAATGGGATGAGATGTGGAGAAACATTCACTGGGCCAAACTCGCCTAATAAACCATCCATGTGGACCGAGAATTGGACTAGTTTGTAAGTTTCGCAGTAGTATTATATCCATTTTTAGAATGTTTTTTAGGTTGTTAATTACCTGAGTATCGGAATATAATAATATTAGTTTCTAATTTGTAGTTTAACCATTGATGACTTTTGTGTTTGTTTGGGGGCGCGGGGTTACAGCTATCAAACATATGGTGGCGAACCATACATAAGATCAGCAGAGGAGATTGCATTTCATGTTGCTCTTTTCATTGCTGCAAAGAATGGGACTTATGTCAATTATTATATGGTATAAATATATATCTCTCTCTCTTTCTTTCTTTGTATGAACCTAACTATAAAGATGTACATGATTATTTAAAACCAAAACCACTGTTCATTTTTCTCCCCAGTATCATGGAGGAACCAATTTTGGAAGAACAGCCTCTGCATATGTGATTACAGGCTATTATGATCAAGCCCCTCTGGACGAATATGGTTTGGCAATTTCGAAAACTAGCCATCTTAATTAAATTAGCTAAACGATTCGAATATTTGCATCAACACTGAAAACTGTTCGTCGCAACTTTTTCTATAGGTTTAATGAGGGAACCAAAATGGGGCCATCTTAAAGAATTACATGCTGCAGTTAAGCTGTGCTCCAAGCCCTTGCTTTCTGGAACAAAATCCAACTTCTCACTGGGCCAATCACAAGAAGTAAGTTTATTGTGCGAGTTAGATCATTCCATGCAATGAAAAGTTGTTCCTACAGTTCAGGACGAAAATGGAATGTCATATTGGATGAATACATCACTTGCAAAACTGTGGATGAATACAGTTCAGGACGAAAATGGAATGTCATATAGGAAATACATCACTTTACTTATTCATCTTCTTTGCAGGCATATGTGTTTAAAACTGAGTCCGGAGAATGTGCTGCCTTTTTGGTGAATAGAGGAGCTACAGATGTGAATATCCTCTTTCAAAATGTTTCGTACAAGTTACCTTTAAGTTCAATCAGCATCTTACCAGATTGCAAAACTGTGGCCTTCAATACCAGAATGGTAAGATTTAAACCGACCAGTACTGGCAAGAACTTTCCAGCAGCGAGTTCTTTTTATTTTCTCATAAATTTTAACCATTGGAATACATTTGATCAGGTAAGCGTACAACATAACACGAGATCAATGAGGGCAGTACAAACTTTTGGTTCATCTGAAGAATGGCAAGAGTTCAAGGAAATGATACCTAGCTTCAATGAAACCGAATTAAGAGCAGACGAGTTATTAGAGCATATGGGTACTACAAAAGACAGCTCAGATTATCTTTGGTACACTTTAAGGTAAATTATAAGCGAGTAATTAAGCTGCTAATATTAATCTTAATTAAGCGCAAAAGGGTGGTTGGAAGTAGAACTAACTGATTCACCTTATGTTGCTTGCCTATAATGGTGTAAAATGCAGGGTTCAACATGATTCTCCCGACTCTCTACTAACTCTTGAAGTGGATTCTCGAGCTCACGCACTGCATGCATTTGTCAATGGAGTTTATGCAGGTTAATCTTGTCTTCCTTTTTATGGTTGAAATTCGGAGAAACTGTTATTGAGCATTTTGCTAGGATTACCCTATAGGCTCCGCCCATGGAACTTTCAAAGAAAGAAGTTTCTCTCTGGAGAAAAGTATTACGTTGAGAAATGGCATCAACAACATCTCGTTGCTCAGTGTGATGGTTGGCTTACCGGTACGGATATTTAATCTTCTTCTTCCCTTCCATAGTTAATGTATTTTTGACTTTGAAAGATATTTGCAACAAAATCATCACGTTACACCATCTTAGTAAGTTCTGATAGTTCTAATATGAAGGATTCTGGAGCATATCTCGAGCGCAGAGTTGCTGGACTGCGAAGAGTGCAAATTCAAGGCGAAGATTTCTCTGCAAAATCTTGGGGATACAAGGTCCTTTAATTTTCTAAGCTCCCAACATGTGTATGAATATATACTTAAAATCTAACCTTCTTTCATATTTTTGCTGGTTTTTTTGAACGATTTGGAAATCAGGTTGGCCTGGTAGGAGAGCAATCACTAATATTCTTAGACACTGGATCGAGTGAAATTCAATGGAGCAGGTTAGGAAACTCTTCTCAGCCCCTCACATGGTATAAGGTACTACACATTATAAATCGTTTTAGACTATTTCTACAGCAACTCTATATTGAATTCAGTTGTTTAATAACTTTGTCATTCTCATTCATCGCCAATTGGCAGACACGGTTCGATGCACCACCGGGTGATGACCCGATCGCCTTGAACCTTGGTTCCATGGGGAAGGGTGCAGCTTGGGTTAACGGCAGGGGCATTGGCCGGTACTGGGTCTCCTTCCTAACTTCAAAAGGGGAGCCTTCACAGAAATGGTATACAGTTTATTCAGACCTTAGAATCTGGTGTTATTCTATTTCATGTACTGCCTAAAAGACACCCCTCTACCTAAAAGACAAAATGAATTCTATTACTTACCTGTCCATCTTTCAAAATTCCTTCACTAGTTTCCTCCAACTTTGACACAATTATGTCTCTCCTTCCAATTCAGGTATAATGTACCACGTTCCTTCCTCGAGCCAACTGGAAACCAGTTGATTATTCTTGAAGAAGAAACTGGAAACCCGCTCGGGATATCACTGGATGCCGTTTCAATTAGCAAAACATGTGGGCAAGTGTCTGAATCACATTATCCCCAAGTAGCTTCTTGGATAGGTGCAAAGAAACAAAGAGCGAACCGTAAGAACAGAAGCAGAAAGCCGAAGCTCCTACTAAGCTGCCCTCATGACAAGAACATCTCCAACATCTTATTTGCAAGCTTTGGGACCCCTACTGGCGACTGTCAAAGCTATGCTACTGGAGCATGTCACTCGCCAAAATCCAGAGCCATTGTTGAGCATGTGAGTTTTTTTACCTGAAACATATTACCACTCTGAAAGTATTGCCTTGCACTAAATAAATGATAGTAAAGACAAGACAATAACTCACATGAAAATTGTGTTGTGATGTTTCAGGCTTGTCTAGGAAAGACTAAATGCTCGATTCCGATCACAAATCTGAACTTCCGTGGCGATCCATGTCCACGCGTCACCAAAACATTGTTGGTTGATGCACAATGCACATAATGATGGAAGATGTCCCGCGTGCAGTACACGACAAGATAATTCGCCATAACTTTCTATAGATAAATAGCTTTAGATAATCTTCTGCAATATCACAGCTTGTTTCATTCTTTTAGGGGTCTTAGAAACAATTATGCAACACATCAAGTATTAATTGATTCATGTCATCAATGAAATGCAACCTCAGTTCTCTTGTCACAGAAAATTAGTTTTTTTGCTAGTGAATTTTCCTACCATATTACAATTGAAATGTTTCAGAGTAGCAACACTATTACAACTGTAATGCTGGAATGTCAATGAACTTCCCTAATAATGGGGATTAAATTTTGAATTCCTCTTTTCAGGAGAAAACAACATCAATATGCCAACTCACACCTGGCCAAACGATTCTCTTCCCTCGGACGTTTCTAGGGAAAGATTTTCAAAGCAAGAGCATTTCTTTGCCAAATGGAACATTAAAAAAAATAAATATACACCTCCTTCAAAAGCAAGCAAAACTCGGTCATCGATCACCATTCATCTCCCGTATCCCACATTTGCCAGCAGTTTGTACTTGAACGATCCTCTTGAATCTTTTGAACATCAAAAATAGGAATTTATACTCATTCCGAAAGCTTAGAACCCAAGCTCAAAGTTCAAAATTATAAGATAAAATATTCACATTGATCTATTACCAGTTCTTCTCCTTCTGCTGCTTTGTAGATTTTTTCCTCTTAGTACTCTTCTCAAGATGTGATGATAAGAGGGCTTTCTGTTGAGGTAAATCGGCTACGAAAAGCAGAGTTTGAGCCCAACCAGCATATTTTCCATACTTGTTGACGAATGCCTCAGCCACACGGTTGCAAAGCTTTGGTGTCAGACGTGCACCAGCGAGCTCGGGGACAAGGTACCTAGTAGCAATCTTTTCATACCACACAAGAAGAAGCCTTCCAATCAACTTTCAATGAATTCAAAAATCAATACTAATAAAATAGGATGGCCACTGACATTCAGAAGTAAAATCCATCATTCATAATGCCTATGACTATTTTTCTTCTTTCCAATGACTCTCTGCCAATGAGCAGAGTGAAGAATTGATTCATTTACACAGGAACTTGCCCTTTAGCTCACTCGAACACCAGAAAATAGTCATAATCATAAGGTATGACTTGTCCATTTCTATCTTTTATAATAAATCGGTATATTCTTTTCAGACCCCAGAGAAGACAAGGACGGGAGCTCCCATTTGGATCACAAGGATGAAACTCAATCATTTAAGTTAATTTGAAAACGGATATAATACCTGCCATACATGTGTATCTACAGGAATGGCATGATGCTGATCGAGGGAGAAGAGAGCAATACAAGCTGCCACTTTCGGACCGATGCCGGGTAACGAAGAAAGCGCATCAATCACCTCTTCGAGATCCAAATCACGAAGAGACAGAAGCCATTCTGCACCTCCCCCAGGTTTGGCTTCCAGTGCCTTTACACTTCCAACTATGTATTTAGCCCTGCTTATTCACATCAAACTATCAATACATAACCACCCACATTGAAACAAATGAGAAAGGTCTAAACTGAATAGATACAGCTATAAAGTTTAGAGATTCTTAAACCACGTTTGATTAAATGGAGACCATCTTGAAAAGTTGAGGACTCTGATGAAGTTGTGTGTTAGATTTTGTGAATCAAATTGATATTCAGAGTGCAATTACATTTGGGGTAGAGAATCGAGAGATAAGAGCAGATGATAACCTGTAACCAAAGCCTGCCTCTCTAAGCTCAGCCTCAGAGACCAAGGACAAGCGCTCCAAAGAGGGGAATTCATGGAACTCAAAACCTTCAACATTGCCCAAATAATTCCCTAGTGATGAGATGTAATCCACCATTTTGGTGATTCTCCCAATATTGTTGTTTGAAGAACATAGAAACTGAACCAAACACTCGAGAGGGTGTTGCCTGAGAACTCGAGCGCCCCCCAAATGGCGCGCCAACACCTCGAACCTCGGATCAGCCGCCGAAAAAACCTCCCAAATGGCGCTCAGGGAGATTCCGGCGTTAAGGAAATCAAGCAAGGCCTGCCTGGCGGCGGCGGCGGCGGAGGATGTTGAAGAAGACTCAGAGTGAGTGCAATACGAAACGTCGCCGTTTGGAAGTTGCTTGAGAGATATGAGATGAGACCCAACAGCGCCGGTGAACTGGAGAGGCCCGGTTTGCTTCCACCGGAAGGTTTGGCCGGTGGGGAAAGTGAGAGGCAAAAAGAGGTCTGATTTTGTGAGATTGAGGGGGACCCACTTGGGGACGGTTTTAGGGTTGCTGGACGAATGGTGGCCGGAGATGGTGGTGGGCGGCGGCGGCGGCGGCGGCGGAGACTTGACGGAGGGAGTCGACGGTGGAGTGGTTCTGAGCCGCTTCGTCATTGGAAGGGGTCTGAGTGAGTGCATTCGGGAGGGTTGGGGAGCGTCCGCCGAAAACATTGACCACCAACGACCAACAGTGATTTTTGGAGCCAGTTCCTACATTTATATCAAGATCGTTATATTTGAGAGTAGTTTTAGTATTTCTCTAGTATTTTTGGCTCATTTTAAAAAAACATTTAAAAATACTTTTGAGAGTGCAATATATATTTTTTGAGAGTGTCATGGAATATTTGTCTATAAACCTGATTGACAAATCACATAATCAAGTTGGTTGCTAAGTAGAATAGAAGGCTAGTTGATATATTTTATCTTTTTTAGTTCATCAATAATGGATGGGGTGAGTATTTAAACACTTAACGTTATTTTATGCCTTGATTAATTGAGCCCTACTTGACAATTTTAACAATAACACTTTTACTAATTTTTTAAAAATTAATCGAAAATACTTTTTTTTTTCATAAAGAAAATATTATATTGTGATATCGCCTTTTTTTCCTAATTAAAAAACAATTGCAATGAAGTGGACTCTAATCATTTTTTTATCTCTGTATATTATTACACAAATTTAATTTAATTTAATAGAACATTCTACATTGATGACTATTCGAATCATCTGAGACCATGAATGAAACTGTTTCAATTATAACGAAAATGAAATTAAAGATTATTTATTTTTATTATTTGAATTATAAAGGTAAGCAATGAAGGCACATCTCATTGACGGAAAAAAAAAGAGTTGAGGTTCGAATCCTCGCTCCCACACACGTTTAACTAAAAAACGTATACATTACTAAAAGATTCTGTGATTACATGGCAATGACACGAGTAAAAATTTTACAGATAGCCCGCAACCAAGCGAGCAGAAGCAAAACAGAGAAACATAGTGGGCCATGGTGGTAATAAAGCCCATTGTGCTGGAGTGGACAATAAGCCCACTTAGCTTGCAAAAACCCTTTTGGGCTGGACAATGGCAAGACTTTTATTCTGGAAGAGGAATATGGGCCAAATCCTCTCTGAAAGGAACCGGGGCAACGTCACCAGGCCCGAAAGAATTACTGAGCCCACTTTCCATATGGGCCTGGGCCATGGGATCGTGCTTTTCGGGCTCTATGTAAGTCACAACCCTGTCTTTTCGAAACGTTAGGTATATAACAGCAAGAATATACACGGCCATCAGTGGAAAAACCACGATCCCTATTAATACGTTTGCAACTTTTGGTAGATCGCTGTGGATTAGCCAGCCCACGAAGGCCGTGCTCAGATAGTAGATGTTTATGCCGATGATTGCCAGGCCCAATATCCACGAAATTACAATGATCTGAAATAAGCCCAAACAAATGTAAGCTTGGTAATTGGCCAGCCCAATATAAGCTAAATGGGCCGACTGAAATAAGAAGGGAGAAGAAATGCTCACGTATATGGAATTCTTGTGGGGGCCCATCTTGGTCGTGCTGCTACTGAATTTGAGAAGCGGAATTAGAGCAAATGGAAGCTCGAAGGAAAGAATCATCTGGGAAATTACGTATAGACCCGTTTAATTAAATTATATTTATAGAAAAAAAAAAAGAGAAAAGTTTAAATTAGATTTAAATACTGATTATTTTAGTTGTTGTTATCTAGTCTATATATTTTTATTTTAATTCATATATTTTGAAATTTATGTTTTTGTTTTTTACTCTTAAAATGACTATATTAGTCTTTTTTTTCATTCATTTTCATTTATTTATTTTGACTAAAATTTTATTATAACACTTCATCTTTATTAATAAAGATGAAGTAATATTTTTTTTAAAAAAATGTTACAATTAACAAAAACAGATGTTTTAGAAATACTGTCACTAAGATGAATTAAGATGTTCATTTTAAAATTACATAGATTAAGGGACCAAAATAACGCCCTTAACCTAAGGTGAGAGACTTTTAATCAAACCTCAACGTCCTGCCATCTTTCTAGGGTGCTAACACCTTTCTAAGAAATTTGATTTAAACGGTGCATTTCTATCGATGTCAGTCAATAGTACTATAAGCTTCCAATTTTTGTTTTAAACAATTTTTTAATGAATTAAGTTAGAAAAAAATACAAACCGACGCGATGATGATGAGACGTCCAGCGCCTTGAGATCCACCAATGATGGAGACGACGAGACTGGGCGCAATCGCAATGGACCTCGTCATAAGATTTCTCGCCCACGTCTTCATTTTCAGGTCCAAAAACCCCTACATTACAATTTACAACAACACAATTTTCCAACTTTTTAAAATTTCATTAATTTACATACAAAATTATATTTATAATTCGAAATTAAATTACAAAAATTTCCATACCTGCATAATGAACTGCCCGGCATAAGTGCCGGTGATGCTGGAGCTCTGTCCAGAGGCAAGCAACGCAATAGCGTAGATTGTGGAGCTCGATTTCCCCAAAACGTTCTGAAAATCAAAACTCCGAAATTAATTAGTAATCAAAACGGGACCGTTTCGTTTTGAGAGTATTATTATATGAAAGGCGAATAATGGGCAGACCTGGAGGAGGAAGGAGGCGGAGTTGAGGGTTATATCGCCGCACTGATCGGCGGTGGCCGGAGAGACGTTTCCGACGGTACAGACGGTGCCGGAAACTGAAACGACGGCCACGTTTATTAAAAATGCTACGAACAGAGCAAATCCGCTCTCTATCAGAAAGTATCTGCACGCATCCTGCATCCGGCCACAATATATATCCAAATTAATTAATTACTCTTTATTTATTTATTTATTCTTTTTGAAATCATTTTGTTAATAAAAAAGGAGAATATTAGTGGCATTCGTAATTCGTACATTGATGCCACGGACGGAATTGGGCACTTTCCTGGAGAGCACGAGAGCGGAGTGAAGAAAGAGGTTGTGCCTGCTCCACAATTAATGAAACAAAAAAAAAAAGAAATTCAATTAAAATAAAATAAATTAGAATGGGAAGTTTCGACATGTCGGTTGGGGTTTCGTACGGCATAACGAGGGCGCCGAGGAGAGCGATGGCGTCGCCGGTGGCTCCCTGGCCGTTGAGCTTGGGGACGAACATTCCTTTCAAAACGCCGCTCGCCGGTGGCTTCACGTAGCTCATTTCCCCGAAGAAGCACGCCGCCATTACGAACACTAGAATTGCTATCAGCAGTTCTAGCTTCCTCGCCTAAATATTAAAGAAAAAAAAATGATATATAATAAAGTTAGACAAAATAAAACCCCTCAAAATGAGATATTGGTCAACTTACCATTTTTCATATTATAGTTTCAATTTAGTTTTCAATAAATATAAAAATAGTTGTTGGATGTGCGGTGATTTTTGATCGAGGTGAGGATTATGAAATGCGATTATGTACAAAGCAGACAATATCATACCAATAGAAATAAGTCTTCAATAAATTGTATTTTATTTTCCCACTCGACAAACCTACCTATTTCTTTTTGTTTTTTTTCCAAACCTAAACTTTAACCTAGTTTGCTAACACATTTGACCGAATTTAAACTTTTTTTTTTCTAATATGGTAACTAATGATCGAACTGTGAAATTTAGATCGAAAGTTTTAAAATTATAAAAATAAAATTGAAACAAAACCAAAATTATAGAAATCAAATTGAAAATCAAAATCCAAATCCTCAAATTATAGGGGCAATGCTGGAAATATTTCAAAAGAACCAAATTTGGTCCCTGAAGTAACAATTTAGACCATAAACTTTAACTTGTAACAATTTAGTACTTAAACTTTAATATGTAACAATTTAGTCCTTGTAATTTAAAGTTGGTAATGATTTAGTCCGTGAAATTTTTTGGTTAAGTTTCTTATATATATATAGATAAATAAACGAAAGAGGGATAAAAAAATATGTTTATAACTAGAAATATTAAATTGTTATATGATAAAATTTGACATGTTGAAGGACTAAATTGTTTCTATATGGACTAAATCGTTACAAACTAAAGTTTATGAACTAAATTGTTACTTTAGTGAAAATATAGGGACCAAATATTAAACCTTTAAAATAATAGTATTGTGTTATTTGTTTTTTTTTTTAAATATCGATTATGTATTTTGTGCGACAAGGGTTATAAAATAACATTTTTATTTATGGGTTTAAAAACTTAAAAAGATAGAGATCAAGCTTATGCATCAAGTAATTGTTTAAATTTTGTTTTCGTCCTTAAACTTTCAAGTATAGTCTTGCTCTTTAAATTTTTTATAAAGAATTAAAGATATTGCTTACATTTTTGCTATTAACTATTTAATAATATTTTTATAAAACTATTTAATAAATTTTATAGCAAAAAAGATTATATAAGCATGTGGTAGTAGGAAAAAAAAAGACATTGTAGAATTTTAAATAATGAGATCTCATCATCTCTTTTTCACTAACCCAGACTCCCAGTAACGATAGTAGTTCAAATATATTTAGATTATTATTAACAACGACGATTTAAATTGTTTTCTTAATGAAAATTTTAGGACTTTGAAATCGAAAATTTAAAAGGTATGGAATATTTGAAATTTTAATGCGAAAATAAAATAGGTATGGAAATTTGAGACTGAATTATAAATTAAAATATTAAATAATTTACCCCATATCTCTGGAGTCCAAGGAGCAAGAGGGTGCTTAAACCAGTGAGGAGAACTCCAGCCCAAACTGGGATATGGAATAGTATATTCAGGGCAAAGGCCGTTCCTACCACTGCAACCAAACAGAAAATGAAAATAATATAAGATAAATTAATTATTGCTAATATTTAGAAGAGAAGGGAAAAGAAAGAAGATTAATAATGCCTTCTGGAATATCGGCGGCTATTACAGCAACTTCAGCCAGCAGCCAAAGGCAGTACTTCACAATTTTTGGGTACTCGGCCTTGCAGACTTCTGAAAGGTGTTTTCCTTTGAAAAAATAAAAAAAAAACAAAATAATTAGTGTTAATTAATGAAGTACTTAATAACCATAAATTATTTGCGTGGTCGGTTAATTTTTTCTAGAATATTTTATTCTTACTTTTTTTACCTTTTTTTTTATTCAAGATAATTAGAGATTCAACTTCCAACTTTCAACTTTTTAGTAGATGAAAATCTAGTATTAAACTTGTTACACTTTAATTAATTGAGCTATAAATTTAGGGCTAAACTTCAAACTTACCGGTGCTTACGCCGAGATTTGCAGCCAGCGATTGGATTATGAGTGCAAATATTAATCCGATAAGCACGACCCATAGAAGCTGCCAGCAATAACAAATTTTTAAAATAACAATATTATTGTATATTTTCTTTTCTGTTTGAGAAGTTAAAACTGATTTTCATATAAAGCGGAATCCATTAACACACACACACACACACACACACACATATATATATTAAATTTCAAACCTACTTCAGCCGATTTGGTCGGCTCCTTTTTATTTTCTAATATATACGATTTTTACAATTAAGATTCATATTTATATAAATTGAATATTTAAAACGAAGGAAGGAACAATTGTTATTCCTACTCAATCTCAACTATGTTGGTTGATTTTGATTACCTCGTATCCGTGGCTAGCACCAGCTTGCAGGTCAGTTTCCACTGAAAAAGGAAAATATATATATATATATAGCCTTGTCAAGATCATTGCAACTATATAAAAGATAATTCTTTATTTTTGAAGTGGTACCTATATTTATATGGTCGTATATTGGAGAGGTATTTACTCAAATAACATAAACATCAACACATATTTTAAATATAATATAAACTTTGAAACCTTTAAAAATAGCCTAATTCAAACAAATATAAGGTAAAATATACTAATAAAAGTTAAAAAAATGAGAAGCTATCCTGTTATATATTATATTAATTTTAGTTACGTTATGGAGTGAAAATTTGTAATTTGAGGACTATTTTCAAATTTTTGAGAAATTTCCGCATCTTAAAACGGTATATCCTAAATTACAGTTAAGAAAAAAAGAAAAAAAAGAAATATATATATATGGCGGCCGGGCGCAGCGGAGGGAGAAGCTTACAGTTGCCAGGATCAAGGTAAGCCAATGAGACGAGGAATCCAGGGCCGACATGTGACAGAAACTTTCTCCACCCAGGTTTCTGAATTATCAGTTACAGTTAACAGAAATTTAAAAGAAAAATAAAATAAATAAAACTCCAATATTTATTTTTATCCAGGGAAAATAAATGATTAATTACTTCAATTTTCTTGGCGGCGGTGGCCGGAGGCGTCATTGTCTCCGCCGCTATACGGTTGCTGCCACTGCCAAAAGACGGTGCCGCCGCCGTCGTAGTGATCATCTGTGCTTCCTTCTGCTGGGTTCCCATAGGCATTTATTATGTCTGTGTTTTGTGTCTACAAATGTCGCTGCCGATGGACGACTTGACGACCCAACAGAATCAGTAGCCTAAGAATTTATACAGTGGGGGAATGCGCATAACGACAAGCCGTCCAGCCGTCCAGCTTCATTCTCCAATCGCTCCTCGTGTCATGCCTCTTCTATGGCCAAAAGAACGACACGTCGCTTTCCTTTACCTTCTCGACCATTAAGAATAAATGACAATTGACAATATTAATCCATTACAATTACTCTAGCTTTATTTATTTATTTTTATTTAAGGAGAATACTACAAAAAATTTATGTTTTTCATTTCTCTCAATTATTAGTGATAGTGAAGTCAGTTTAGTCCCGATGGGTGGAGAGCGCCTTTTTTTATTTTTTTTTAAATTATTGCTGCCATTACTCTAGCTCGGCCTTTGATGTTTGATTAAATTAAAAAAAAAAATCCTTAATTTTGCCATTTATTTGTAAATATCTCCATCTCAATATTATCCTGATATATTATAAACGTTTCAAAATATAATTGGAACAAAAATTTGTTTAATAGAATTTTAGTAAGAAAATGTAGAATAAGTTACATGATCTTTGAAAATATGATTTTGACATAATTAGGTATTAGTTGGCTTTTTTCCCCTCTTTCCTCTCTTTTTAAACTAAATCTAAGCAAATTTTGTGAAAAGTTAAAATATCATCGAGACTTTTTTGAAATATAGGAATATTTTGAAATAATGGACAAAATATTTTTTTTTATATAATTTAGCTTTTTTATGTTTAAATTATTAATCCAACCATTCCACTATAGAGGTAAATTTCTTAATTCATAACGTGTTGTTAATCACCCACTATAATTTGGAAATACATATAGTATAATATATGTACTATATGTATATCTGAAACGTGTTGTTTCAAGCTACCTTAAATTATATTAATTTGCTAGCTTTGCAAACTATTTTATGGTTCTATGTAATATCAAAACCAAAGTATTTTTTATCCAAAAAAAAAAATCAGAGTATTTTGTTAAGTGTTAAGTACAACTTGTTTTGTCTAACATATTATACTTTAGTTATCGTATGATGGCAACATCCAACAAACATAACACGATTATTGGATAACGATTTCATTTTTTTTTACAATAGAAATTTAAGTATATGGATGAACAACTAATGTAAAGTAAAAAAATAAGTTTTTGTTTTACAAATGAGTTGATTTTAATAGTTCAATCATTTTAAATTATAATATTAATAAACAGTGAAATTAATATCATCATTAGTTAGTTGGATTTCTATTTTAGAGATTATGTGACTAAATGTAAACGTTACATATTGTATCAAGATCACTCATATATAAAATAACTCTTTAATTAATTTTGTTTTCAAAAAAGAATATTAATTTTACTATTTATTTGTATTGTGTTGGGTTGACTAAGGTGTTGGGAGTGTTTTGTAAAAATACTTCCTGTAGTTTTTTTTAGTATATGTTAGTGTTTTTTTAGAATTAATTCTTGAGGTGGTTGGTCATTATGTACGAGATTTGAACCTACTCCCTCCTACTTTATCCTAATTCTTTTCGACCAATAAACCATTAATGATGGTTATTTTAATAAAAACTATTATGAGTTAAGTTTTACTAGACGTGTGAAATAGTAAATTAGATTCAAACTCTATAGTGTGATTGACCAATCAATTTAAGACATTAAAATTTGACTGCCAAAGGTTGTGCTGTGAAATAATTTGTATTGTGAGATTAGTTAATTAGGTGTCATTTGCCTGAACATTGTAGATATTCAGTTCTACCATTTATTTCTCGGTTAATCATGCACTACAAGGGCTAAGAACACTTTTTACGCGTTTTTTCTTTCACAAATAACGTTCTTTTGAACATTTTCAAAAATAAATTTTATGTTACTCGTGAAACATTATTATCTCAAGTGGAAATTTCTATAGGCATATGACACAAATACAAGTAATACAACTCGAAGAGGATATGAGTAATGTCATGCCGCGCCTAAATATAAGTGACAAGTCCAAACAATGCCAATAATTTTTTTTTAATTTAAAATAAAAAATGCATATATACATGGTTTCATGCCTCCCATATTTGAAATAACAACCGTCAGTCTCTCATTCTCTTGGTATAAATATAGGTGCCCAATTGTTTAAACTTTGTTGGAGTATAGAACTGAGGCAGATTGCTGAAAAAGTAGAGCTTAATTAGATTTTTCTTTCGCTTAGATTTCTTCTTTCTTGTTTTGGCAATGGTCACGCCTAGGTTTGATTGCATCCTAAATAATAATTACCAAATAAATAAAAGTTGTATGCATTTTCTTATAAGAAGACTTGTTTTCTTCTCTCTCCCTCTCTTTTTTAATTATATTCAATAAAGATTTTATTTTGTAAATTTCATAAATGGTGACATTTACGGACTAACGAGATTGAAGGATATTACAGTAAATTATTATAATGGATATTACATATTTTTATACAATATGAGATGCAGCGATTTCGAACCATTTTTACAATAAATATATATATATATATATATTAGCGAAATTGTTGATTATGTAAGGTGCGAGTTTATAATGTTACTGTTTTATTTACTGGTTTCTTTTTATAAATAAAAAAATAAACAAAAACATATCACAACCACATGAACTTACTATATTTAGTTACCAAGAAAATACATAAAGAGATTAATTGCTAGGTGTGTGATCATATTGTGTTTGAACACATCCCTCTAAACCTTGTTTGATTTACTATGGCCTGTTAGACCAATAGCCAACTCTAGTTTAAATTTTTATATAAAAAGTAAACGTTTTTATATGAAAATTACTTTTTAAAATTAAATAATTGAAAATTTTATGTTGTATTTAATTTTTTTATATTTATTATGCATTTATAAGTAAAACAAATTATCTATGTTTTTTTTAAATATGAAAATAAAAATAAAAAACAATAAATTTGATCTTATTGTTTCTCAATTATAAAAAGTGAGAAACTAAAAATATGAATGATTACCCAAGGATGTTTCTCAAAATTTAGAATTGAGATACAAAAAATAAGAAACAATAACGTTACGTCGTAATTGTAAAACCCTAAGTTAATAAGGTATGATATGTGGTTGTGAGCATGTTCGAGATGTCTGCATACAGACTCAATCTAATGAATACACAACATGATTGCTTTATAGTATTATTTATAAGTAAACGCCAATATTATATTTAACGTGTTTGATTCGGAAAGTGATCACGAGCGCGAAGGTCTTAACCGACACGCTAATTTGCTGACGAGCTAAAGAGTAGATAAGGAGACCTACAAAATAGAGTTAGCACTCACGTTAGTAGTCGTCTGATCTATACTTGAGAGAATATACTTTCACGTACCTGAAAATGAGGCGAGACCAAAGTTCTCTATTTATAATTTGAACTTCTGGTAGACATTCAACGGCTCTCCGACATCCACGAGAATCACAACGTGTTGTCAAAGATTCTGTTTATCTGCATCTGCTAAAGCTTACAAAAGTTAGCTCGACTATTAATTTAGACGACTGAGGTAAGAGATGTAGGTCAGCTCGTCATACATATGACTTGTGACCCATCATGGATAGTTCGATCGGCTCGATCTTTTGGGAGGTTCGAGCTGTTGGTCTTCTCATCGGTGAATCATTATGTTGACTCATTGCTTGAAGCTATCAAATTTCGGTACGTGGATGGTGAGAAATCACTTCCAGTATAATCATTGAATAAATTTTAATTAAATTGATGTGATATGACAAACAACATGGTAGATTTTTAAAAACACATATTATAATGTTAATAAAATTAGTAACAACATGGATTAAATAGAAATATAATGAAAAATTCTATGTCACAATTAAAACTTTTTAAAGTCTGGATATGGATATTAAATTTATAATTGAACCTATAATTTTTAAATTTTTTCTAATGAACTGACTAAAAAGCTTACGCCATGGTTTTATATAGAATATGGCATCACATGGTAATACCGTTGAATTTGGATTATTATTTTTTTAATGCGAAACAATTTGCAAAAAAATTGGATGCATTCTTATTGGATGTAATTTAATAATGTCACGGTGTTATTTTATTGGTTGACAAATAATAGTGTTATCATGATAATGATTCTGAGTTGTGATTAATTAACAGAATTATGGTGATGTATTATTAAAAAAAAAAGAATTATGGTGATGTATTAAGAGATAAGGCAGAACACGTACCACGAACAGTTTACCACGCAGCAGACACGTGCTTTAGGCAGTTGACTTTGGAATCTGATAAACTATTAGATGGATAACTATTTGCAATTTTTTTTTTGGAAACTTTCAATTTTGTTTTATCTTCCCTCTTATTATTTTTAGATAGGGTAAAATATATCATTTAGTAAGTGAAATTTATAGTTTATGTCAGTTTGATCCTTAAAAATGTATTTATATTTTTTCATTGGGTGAAAGTTGTGTTTCATGGGATTTAAATTCAATATCTTAAAGATATTTCTTGAGGTCCAAGCCACCCAAACTATTCCGGTAGACATTTGGTCCTTAAATATTTTTAAAATGACGTTTTTAGTCTTTAAAGCTTGAGAAAATGTTCTAAATGATCCGTGAGGACCTTTGGCCATTAATTGACTAATGGTAATATGACGTAGAACTTAAGTTGTTAACCAGACTTTTGTTAAATTGACAAAATATATTAGTTCTCCCTGATGAACTCTGTCGTTGGTCATCCTCCTTACTAGTTGTTATTGTCGAATAAACTTTTGCCAGTCATTGAAAATTTTATAGATTTGGTTCCTCGTCTGACGGGAATGATATGGATTTTCAATGGCTAGTAAAGGTTTATCGTACAACTGCTACTGGCAATGAGGAAAACCAACCACGAAATTCATAAGAATAAGAGGAAGGTGAGGAAGGAGAGAGAGAGTCCAATCTCCAACAAAAATATAATTAAAATAATATATTTTACGAACTCAATAATAAACAATTTAACTTCCACATCATTTTATCATTAGTCAACTACAATTAAATAATGTG